AGGAGGAGGAGGAGCATGGTGAGTATGCAACCGTCCGCAGCCTTATCCTTGCCAGCGTTGTGCACATTTGATTACGGTCAGGCCTTCCCATCGGTGGCTCATGTATGGATCTTTCGAGTTCTTGAATGTATCCAGCTGCCACCTCCGATGCTCATGGTCATGAAATACATATATCAGAATGTGCTGTGCTTCGGCGTGCACCAGCATACCACGCTATTCCTTTTCGAGGTCCTCAGCGGAATATTGCAAGGCTGCCCAGCGTCGGGGGCCATTTATGCGATATGCAGTCATCCGTTCATGGCAGAATTTCGCGAGCTGCTCAGTCAACACTCCACGCTCACCTCAGCACCTTCGGCGGCATCCGAGGAACGGAGGCGACCATTATCGGCGGCCAAAGCATGTGCTGACGATGTGGGAGCAGTGGTATCGGAGATCCAGCAACTGAAGCAGGTGAAACAAGTATTTGATCACAGTCGTGAACTCGCTCATCTGAAACTCAAGAGTAGTAAATGCTATATAGTGCCGCTGTTTGGGCCATTCGATGAATTCCGCGCTCAGCTATATAGATCCTGGCTGTGTAATAACATCCCCGAGTGGGCCGATTTTAATATCGTCGCGATGGTGGAGTATCTCAGCCTCATCCTCCGCCCGCAGGCCTCTTGTGAGGCTTGGCTCCAGCCCATCCAGAAATGGTTTACCCGTGCTGCACAGATAGCGCGGGAGCGGTGCCCTACGGGAGTAGCTGAATATTTATTTAATAAGCGAGCGATCAGCACGCTTTCATACGTTGCGCAGTTCGCCCAGCTGCCCCTCCAACTTCCTGGGATCCCCTCTCTGAGGCGCCTCGAACACGCCTCCCTGGCCTCCGTTTTTGCTCTTCCCAAATGTGCTTTATCCCTGGCTTCGCTTGTCGAACTCAAGACCTGGGGTGGGCCCAACATCGACAGTGTTGAAACGATATGCGCTGCCACTTTAATGCGCTCAGCGGTGACGACCCTCCCCGAGTGGAGGCCCTTGCTTAGTATGTTGGGGAGGGAAGCTGAGAGGTGCCTTTCTCTCCAAAACCTCGGTCAAAAGAAACTGTACCCGAGCTTCTGGAAAGCTCCCTCTTTTGCTGGCAGCTCTGTCTGGTTGCGATTTTTTTCTTCTTCCACGGTCCCAGAGTACAAAGCTGCAGGTGCGGCTAGCCTCAAAACGTTGTGTAGACTGCAGCGAGAGCGGCGCGAGCACCCTCGCCCACCGCAAAAGTTTAAGATCCAATGGGGCTCTGCACAAAACGTTATCAGGTGTTCTGTTTCCTGGGGGCCTCGTCCAGGACTGGAGTACCCGCCTGTGCAGGTAGCACCCCGGCAAAAAACGCCTGATCCAAGGCATCTGCTGGAGCTCCGTTCAAGCCGAAGTTGTTAGGTTCCCCCCTGCCCTGAGAAATGCTGCTTGGCGGACCTTCTCGGGCGCATGGATCACTAGTTTCAGAATGCACGACGACGATTTCATACGATGTTGTCTAGGGTGTGACAATGCACCAGACAGCTTCGCCCACTACTGGGCCTGCCCGCGGCTGTGGGGCCTTGTTGCTTCTCTGCTGAATCTTGATTCCATCCCTGCTTGTCCGACCCGTCGGCTTGGCCCCATCGCTCCCTCTGGTTCGTCCCTCTTGTTGCCCATCGCTTCCTATCTGCTGTTCATCCGTTTGCAGGCTCTCGAACATCCGCTCTCGAGTGCCGCGGCAGAATCTACCTTCCCTGCCATGAGGGCAGTTTTGGAGCGTCGTGCAGGCGCCAGGGGCGGTAGAGCGCGGGCGCAGGCGCGGTGAGGAGAGACACGTGGCCCGCGGCGACGTGCGAGGAGGAGGAGGAGGAGGAGGAGGAGGAGGAGGAGGCCACTTCCCACATTCTAATGGGCTGACCCCCTAGCAAAGCGATACCTGACCTTCCCACCATAAGGGATGAGGAAAATAACGACTAGGGGATTACTTCGCCAGACTTTCTTGGACCCCTGATAAGAGTAAGAATGCCCACCCAACCATTCCCCCCTCAGACAAGAACATCCCCTGGACGCCAACGTGCAGGTTCGGGTTTTCAGGCATGGCATTGCCACGGCGCGACCCGCCAGGAGAGGGCGGAGTTTTGCAACTTAGCCCTGGCTGCCAATTTGCGTGCGCTGTCTGGTGGGAGAGAATGGGATAAACTGGGCTGATGAGGAGGAGGGAGGACTGGAAGGATTCAGGCTGCAAGACTTCGCTTGCCTGCCTGCCGGCCTACAAGATTACTTGCGCCATATTTGTTAGTCACGACGCTGTATTGCTCACCCTCACAGCAGTATGAATGGCCCCTGACATGACTTGCAACTGCACATCCTAGTGATTGCACAAAGCGAGGGGCCTGGACAACATTTGATAACAATGGCTATACGCTGCGCGTTCTAGCGCCTGCGGCCGTCACGATGGTAAGGGTGAGCTGAGGGAAGCCATGCTTGGCTAAGTGTGCCTGATTCGATTGCATGCTAGCGAATTGTTTCAGTGCTGCCAGCAAGGTGGCTTAGACGTGATATTAGACATGGAGAAGTCCACATCAAAAACGCAGATACGACCGCATTGAAAAGGACATGCCGTAAACATTGATAGCTCACGCCAAATGGCCTTCTAGCCAAGCTGATGTGCTCCGTAGCCTGAGGTCATTTCCCCAAACGTGCTCACTACTTGCAATGCTAGGCATTGACTTGAGGGACTCTTTCTTCATTTTGCTGTCTCTGCCGACTTGCTGTTCTGGGCTGGATCTTCCAAGCCCCTGGTCTGCTTGAGCCTCTTGATCTCGTCCCTAGCATTGTCGAGCTGCTCTGCCAACGATTTCATGCGAGCCTCCTGTAATTCTGCTTGAGTTCTTCCATTCTGGATAACGAACGATCGCCTTCGCTGGTTACCTTTGGATGGGTTTCGGGCTCTGAACTAGAGTCCTTGCGCTTGCGCTCCGATTGGAACACGGGCATTCTGGGATCTGACGGCCTTCTAGCCTTCTCCCTCTTTGACTTCTTCGATTTCTCGTCCTTCTTGGACTTTTTGTGAGCCTTCCTAGGCTTACGAATGGTTCTGTCCTTAACCTGCTTCATGGAGAGCGGGGCGACATGGCTGCTATCTGTGTGGGCGCGGAAGACACTGAGTGGCTTCCTGGGAGGCCGGCCTGGCAAAATGCTGACCTGGCCAGCTGCTTTGAGAAATTGGCAACTTGAGCCAAAATGGCTTGAGCCAAAATGGCTACGGAGGAGGAGGAGGAGGAGGAGGAGGAGGAAAAGGAGGATGACCCCCTCCCCCTCCTACTTGTGGCGGTGGCGGTGGAAAACGAGCCCACCGAGTGGGGGGGCGCGAGGCTCGCCGCCGTGGCCCCCATCGGCAGGCGCGGGCCGCCGCGGTGAGGGGCCGATGCCTAC